AGGAAAGTTTGTTCCCTAGTGTTTTATCTGCTTTCGTTGTTGTTGTTTCTGCTGCGCTTTCGCCCACCCCACTTTGCAGCCCACCCCCCAAAATGCAGCTTGTCACTTCCGCCAGCCAGCCGCCCGCAGTTTTCTGCGAAGGAAACTTGTGCCCAGAGTTTTGGGTTATACTGCACTATCTGTATGTGTTTTTGCGTTCTTTTTTCCGTGTTCTCTGCGGCTGGCGCTTTAAAAGCAGTCAGCGGATGCACTGAACCATCTTTTAGAGGTGGGCGGTGTTTTCCCGAAGGGGGAGGGGGGCGGGTCCGCTTTTCCACGAGGATTTTCAGTGCATGCAAACGGCTGAACCCGAACCGCAGCTAGTTGAAAGTAGCCAAAGGTAATTAATTTTGTAGCTGCAAGTTGAGGGTCCTGCTGCAAAACTTAGTCGCCGGTGTATTCTGGATTCTGGATCCAGAACTCTGGTTAGACGACCACAAGCTTTTGACAGTCCGCGCTCTCTACAAATGGATTTCCCATTTTCCATTTACTTTAGTTTACAACTCGGAATGAGTGGCAACATTTCCTCAAAATGCAAGTGCGATTTTTTTTTTGTATTTATTCCACCAGGTGGATCTGTGCGTGTGTCTATTAATTTTCTTGAATGCAACAGCAGCGAAATGCAGCCATGTGCCACGCCCCCTCCCCCCAAGGGCGTTGACAAACGGGCGGTGATAAATTGCTAGGACGAGGGGTTTCAAGGATAAAGTGCACTGCTACTTAGAATTTCCAAATTTATAATTATGATAACTTTTATTTAAAATCCTAAAAAAAATATAATATTTTGAATTTCATCTTGCATATATTTACAAAATATATTGTTTTTGCTTTTAAGGGCTTTTAACATTACATACCAGCAACATTTTTTATAATATTGAAGAAAAGATTAAAACGTTTTTAAGAATGTAAAAAAAAACGTTTTAAAGGTATTTTCAGAATATTTAATTTAAAGGGATTTATAAAGATTTCCTTATATTTTTACAGTGCTTAAGCTTTTCTGCATCAGTTATCCCTAACAACGAGTCTAATGGAGCGTTTGTTTTGGCTGCGTTGATTGTGCATTTTGGCCGAGAGAGAAATGGCGCTCAAAGTCATTTTCCGAAAAGCTGCTGCTGGTTATTTGAATTATAAATTTGATTTTAAAGAGCCAGCCGCCAGACGCCCTCGAGAAGTATAAGCAGAAATTAAATTGCATACTGCTACAGTGGCTCCAAAGTCTTAGAGGTCTTAACCAGTTCACTTCATGCGATCTGAACCTCGTAACCTCCTGCTGTCCGGCTGCTTCAGGTGCAAAGGGCCGTGTCAAAGGAGCAAGCCTCGAGGTAACAGGACGCGTTAAAGTCAAAAGTTGCCAAGACCATCAAGTGTTGCCATGTACACGGACAAATGAAACGAACGAAACGAAGTTATCAAGAAACAGGGCACAAAGCCATTACGATTGTCCGACTGTCTATCCTCCCGTCTCGAAAGCGACAAGTGTTTGGGGCCCCTTGAGCTGTCTGCAACAACGAAACAATAAGAAAAAGAGACTCCATTCTTGGCCACAGGTCCCCAGTCTTGGCCAAATGAAATCCAAGTGCGTGCCGGCAAAGGCGAAGAAGACAAGACTATTCGGGGCTCTCTAAGCCCGGGCCAATGTCAGAAGTTAAAACGCAATAACAAAGGCAGGAAGGCCGAAGGAAAGTGGAAAATATCTAATCAAAGACGTCGGCCTGTCGAGCGAGTGAAACTCGAAGGGCAAAGCCAGCGAAGCCCTAGAATTGTTTTGCAATCGTCGAGTTCCTTCTGAGGACATTATCTGGGTGGATAACACACACAATCAGCCCTCCTCCAAAGGAACTGCCGGATTTCATGGATCCCTGACCCGCTGCTAAGCCGCACTGCAAGGCTTCATAATTTTCACCGCATGTGGTCGTGTTGCAGAGTTCTTTGGTTACTTTCTCTCGGCTTTTGAAAATTCAACTCATCTGCAGTCGAAGAATTTTAAAGAAAATTTATCAAGAGAAGGGGTTTCTAAATTTTCCTTAGAAAATTTTAAAATAAGTTAATAATAATGATAATAACACTGTGCAACATTTTTAGGGTTATAAAATGTAACCGCAATTCTGATTTCATTGGCGGAAAGAAGTTTTACATACAAAACTTATTTGTAACGGCCATATCTTGTGAACCGATTAAAATTTTACTATCAAGTCTTCAGTGATTATTTAGCTATGAACCCAAGGAACTAAATTGACAAATGACTCTTGCGAAGACGTAGACCTAGCGCGTTAAAAATCGAAAAATTAGGCAAATTTGTTTTTTAACGCGCTAGGTGCACTAGGTGCTAAGTGCGCAAGAGTCATTTGTCAATTTAGTTCCTTGGGTTCATAGCTACATAATCACTGAAGACTTGATAGTGACATTTTAAGCGGTTCAGAAGATATGGCCGTTACAAATAAATTTTGTATGTAAAACTTTAACTCGCTATAAAAGGTAAACGCGAGCTAAGCCAGAGGAACCCAAATGGGTTTTAGCTTATTTCGATGAGTTCTTTCCGCCCATGAAATCAGAATTGCGGTTACATTTTTCATGTTGCACTGTGTAATATATCAATAATATTTTGTTGGCAATTTTTTTTGACAATTAATCCAAGTTTAAAAACGGTTTTTTATGAGACCCTACATTACAGAATTATAAGTTTATGCTTATATATATATTTTAAAATACCTATTTAAACAATTATATCGTGAGATAATTATTAAGCTTTTCTTTCGTTTTCTTTAACCGCAAAAATAATTTTTTTTAAGTGCACAAATTTTTGCTTTGGTTTTGCCTGCTACTTGCGGCTGCTTTGTGGCAAATATTCGGGGGTAATTAATCAACTGCCACGCGCATCGGCCACGCCCACCCGAAATTGGCAAAATTCTATTAGGCTCGAACGCGGAGGCGCCAGCTGGGTCTTGGCCTTGGCCAAAGTTGCTGCCTAAGCCGCTGCAAATCCCCAGAAAAAGCTTCGCCCGTCTGCACCTGCCAGGTTACCTTTTGCCTTGTCCTGGAATATCCCAACAAAAACATGCCAAACAAAAATGGAAAAGAACGTGAAAAATTCGGAAATTACTGAGTTATGCCAGCTGTCGCAAAAATCCAGAGTTATATTTTCGTTTTTCTCTCAAAGCAGCTTATACTCAAACCACCTTTTTGGGAGGAGAGTGACGACAAATCCATACGGGATGGGAGTGCCATCGTATTTTCGTTTTTATCGAATCTGATTTTATTCCGTTTCCGGCCAATCCCGTTCCACGCTGCCAAAGGATTTTCCGCTGAATTTTATGCTAATTATGCCGCTAAGCTCTTCGGGCAACTTTCAAAAGAGTTTCGAGTCTTAGCGCCGCCTTAGCCTTAAAAACTTCCCGAGCTGAGCGCAATATTTGGCCAAGACATCTCGACGGCGCTCGGCGCTTATGCAAACAGATTTGCGCTGACTGCAGGAAATTAAATCCCCCATTCCATTTTATTTCATTCCAATCCCCCGGCTAACTTCGGCTCACTCCGATAAATTCGCACACGTTGGAATTTTTTATCCGTTATCCCCGGCACCGATTTATTTATGGCCAACTGCTTATAATTTACGTTCCGCCGATTTCAGCCGGCCGGCGTCTATGGCATCAACACTTCCGCCAGCGGCGGCGGCGTCTGGTGATACCAAGTGAGACGCTGCCAGCGGAAGTCCACGTGGCGGTCCAGGAATCAAAGGAATCGGGGGATATAACAATGGAGTAGCACAAAGAAAAGGATACGGCAAGGAAAGGCATCGCAACAATTTTATACCCCACTATCGTTAATTTTATCAGCCCTTAGAAAGCAATCATTTTGGTTTTTTTGAGATAATATGGCAAAATATTTAAAAAAAATATTATTGCGATAATATCAATAGAATATCATTGGAACTAAAGTCTATTTACTTTTCTTTATAATTCCATAGTTGTTTAAACTGAATTAAATTTCTATTTATTTTGTAAACTAAGGACTCTAGTTCTAAACCACTAAGAAATTTGATTTGTAAATTTCAACCTTAAAGCTCTACATAATATATTTATTTACATTTATTAAAGACCGACTAAAGAATTTTGAATTACTTTTAAATCGGAAAATACAAAGATATACCCCAAAAATTCATACAAGTAAAGGGTATGAAAAAGGGGAAAAGACCGAAATAGAAAGGACATGCCTGGGCAGTTTTTGTTGCTGACTGAGCAGCATATGGCAAAAGTTTAAGTAAGCAATATTTATTTTGTATTTCTATTTGTTTGGGCGAGTATTCTTCCATTTCAATACAGTTCGCACACACCGACTGCGGTCTGCAGCAGATTTCGAGCTGCCGAGAGAGAAAAAGCTGTGGATGGAAAATGCCGGGAGAAAAGCGATAAAGCAGGAGAAGGGGTGAGAAAAATATGAAAAATTGCAACATATTTTCCTTAGCCTCTGGTCGGAGTTAAACTTTTATTTGTTTGCTTCATTGCATGGTGGAGGCATTTTGTGGTTGAGCGAATCTCAAAGTTGCTTTGCTTTTGCCCTCGCTGGCATCCATGGAAATTCGAAAGGAGGAGTTGAGGGAAAAACTAAAAGTGCACACAAAGGCGAATTTGTTTCTGACGCTGCTGCATCTGCATCTTGTATTGCATATGATATGCGATATACTATATAACTTTCTTTTTTGGCAGTTCAGGGGTTTTTTGGGGGTGTTGGTCACTTGTCTGGCATGTCAATAAGCCGTAATATTTGGAATTTTGCGGTTCCGAGATATGTGAAAAATAGTTCGGTCGATCGACTTATTGACTTGTGGCCATCGTTTGGATGCCTGACAGTCGGAATTCCCTGGGGCAAGCACTATGCGGCATGCATCATTGATAATGTGGGGAATCTGGGGAATTTGCATTGAATTTTGCCCAGCAAAAGCGGGGACTGAGTGGTACACTCACCTCCTTCGTCGGTCATCACCAGAATGGTGGTCTCCGGTCCCAGACCCTCGGGATTGAACACCTGCACCGTCACCTTGTACTGCGTGTATGTCTGTAGATTCTGTATCTCATGGCTCTGCAAGAGAAAGGGAATATTTTTTGGAGTTTTAGTAAGATTTCAGAGAAAATACGCAGGAAGAAAAAAAGATAATTAATATTGGAAACATTTTAAATAAATTATCCTTAGTATTTAAAGTAAAATTAAATTAAAATTCGAAGTATTAAAATTGTAAAAGTATAATTAAATTGATATGGCTATCCAAAATATCCCTTAATTTTCTTTTTGATTACTAACAACTTGATCAAATCGGTGTACAACAATATTACTGCAGCGATTTTAAAGTTTGTAATATGATTTTTATGAAAACATTCTTAATTAAGGATGAATTTTGTTGTTTTTTTTTTTGGCTGTGCACACACACACCAAAGGACTTTTCATTTGTTGGCCGTTGAAGGCGCATAACAAAATAAAGTGGAGCACTTGCAGCAAGTGCTTCTCCGCAGCAGCACCATCACCACCCCCTGCACCACCCAATTCCATCCTTCTCCCCCCTCACCCTTTAGTATTGTGCATGCTTGGAGCGGAAATTGCGCGTTGCATACTTTTGTGCGTTGCCGTTGGCAAATATGAAAATTGCAGCACTTAAAATTGATTTGCTGTGCGCGATGTCGGTGCAAAAGGAAATTGAGTTGCTTGGGCAACGAGCAGTAGTCTTTGCCTTAATTGCCACAGCACACACATCCATAGACAGGACAAAAACGAAGAAGAAAAGCGATTGCAAATTCAGAAAAATGTATCTACATTTTTTTTTAAGATTTTATTGTGTGTACTTCGTTCGAGATTAAAAAAATATTTTATAATCAATCAGGAAATAATATTTTTTGACATATAAAAAAGTAACAAATACTTATTTAATTTTTATACCCTTGCAGAGGGTATTATGATTTCAGTCAGAAGTTTGCAACGCAGTGAAGGAGACGTTTCCGACCCCATAAAGTATATATATTCTTGATCAGCATCACTAGACGAGTCGATCTAGCCATGTCCGTCTGTCCGTCCGTCTGTCCGTCTGTCCGTCTGTCCGTCCGTTTCTACGCAAACTAGTCTCTCAGTTTTGAAGCTATCGCGATGAAACTTTCTCAAAAGTCAAAAGACAGACGGACGGACAGGCGGACATGGCTAGATCGACTCGTCTAGTGATGCTGATCAAGAATATATATACTTTATGGGGTCCGAAACGTCTCCTTCACTGCGTTGCAAACTTCTGACTGAAATCATAATACCCTCTTCAAGGGTATAATTAACATGTTTGCGATTTGTAAATTAATAGGAATTATCTGCAAGGGTATATAAGCTTCGGCTGGCCGAAGCTAGCTTCCTTTCTTGTTTATCTTAAAAAAGGATCTGTTTAAAAATATATTTTACATCAAATTAAATGTAAACGAGTTTATTTAAAAAAAAATTATATTTACTAAAAAGTAAATGAACACATTTTTCTAAATACAAATCCCCGAGTAGCCCACATAAGCGGAAAACCGCATATCCTTGTGATTTTTTATGCGTGTATGCCAAGGACTTGTGAGCCATAAGTAAGTCCGTTCCGCTGGCTTTGTCCATGAATTTCGCGAGCGGCTGATTAAGGTTTTAACCAAAGGTCAAAAGCAGTGCCAAAACCATAAAACAAGCCGCAGACTTAGAGTGGTTCAGTGCCTAAAGCACCACAACTACGTACATATATGTGAGAAGTCGAAACACTCGCAAATGGTCAGCAGCCCTGGGCAAATTATGTAGCATACATTAGAGCGCTGCCTGCCTGAATTTGCCTGGTTCGCTGGTGTGCGTGTGTGTAACTGTATCTGTGTAGCTGTGTTCGTCTGCGGTTCTACCGCAAAACCAAGGGGTTTTCGACTATGCGAACTTTAGGCTTGTGCTTAGCAGCGGATTGACTGCCATGCCAACAGCTTAAGTGGCTGCTTTCGGCTTTTCAGACGGCGCCAGCCACAATCGCAGTTATTTCCACCAAAAGCGTGTTATCTTACTCGTCCGGCATCCTTTTACAGATGCGGTCAAAATAATAGGTTACTCTAAATGGATATTAAACAAATAATCTATATTTAATTAGCCAGACTCTTGTGGTTCTGAAGGTATTATATATTTGTGACAAATCAATAAACATTTTATTTCGGTTCTTAAAAAATTAATATAAATTTTTGCAACTAGCAATATTTGGGGATCACTGATCATTGTAAGGAACTTAAATATTTCCTTATCATTTTATTATTGTTAAAATAGTTATATTATTTTAACCTCGACTGTAGTTAGAACTGCGTTCAAAAGACGCAACGCTTGGATTTAGTGCTTCTATATGGTGGGCGGTCGTATAATTTCAGTTTATTTAGTCGCCAGTAAATGAGGCCGAAAATTTACAACTGCTTTTATTTTTATGGTCAGATGAAAGTTGGAACTGCCCAAGGGCGGGCCACGTAATTGATATAATGTAATTGATAAAGTTCCCAACTTCCCGCCATATTGCATAACTTTTGCGAAGTGTGAAGCTAGGGGGGATAAGCATCTAGATATTCTCGCCCCCCTTTTACGTTAATTAGTGCCAACTGGCAACAAAGAAAGGATCTACTAGGTGGTTGCAGACGAAAAAAATTTGAAACTACAAACAGATGGAAATTTTGCCTGTCAAACAAATCCCAATGCCTTTAACAAAAAACTCCACAATTTTCCCCAACTGAACTTGCTGTTTTATCTACACTCCGCCTTTTTTTTCTCGTTCATCAACAATATCAGTTTTGGACTACGCTTTTTCACTTCCATGTTTTTTTTTTTACCAACTTCCTTTGAGGTTTCGGGTGACTCGACTTGCCGGCTTTTATCTGCGTGAAAGTTGCGAAATTTATGCTTTACGGCGCAGAAATTTTAATTAGAAAATTGGCAAATTTAGCCCTGCAGGCGAGCGTTGTGGAAAATCCAACGCTCTCCCTCCTTTCCGCTTTTCCACCTCACACGTGACAGCTCAATGTGAATGCCGCTGGCCAAGGGAGGCGGTGGGAGAAATGGGGGCGTGGCAGGTCGGCAAAAGCCGCAGGCTCCTGAATGCTGATGCTGCGATATGGGAATAACAGAAAGCCATGTCCTGAAGTCCGCCAAAATGACTTGAGCAAAAAAAAACATGTACACATTGCGAAAAGGAAATTGTTAAATTTTAGTTTAATTCAATTAGCTGAAAAATTTAGAAAAAATAATAGTGGACTTGTAGTTCTTATTATAAATTGTTCAATTCTTTTTTCCCTATATATTTTTATATAAAATTTTAAAAATATAAAAACCTTTGAAGAAGAAAAGTTTTTTAGTCTCAAAGTAGTTGAGTTGTACAAAAAATATTTTTGATTAAATCAAAAATGTTATTCTTGAATATAGAAATATACATTTTTTTCGGTGCCCTTACGCCTGCGAAAAAAATAAGTTTAACTAAAGTCGCACGTTTCTGCCTGGAAGGATAATATTTCAACATGCCTGCGACATGCAAAAGAGAGAAAAATAGAGGACATGTAGACAGGGGCGGGTAGCTGCGTCTAGATAAGGACAAAATATGCACTCGAGCACAAAAGCGTGCCATGCTTGTGGCAATCAAGCGTCCTCCCATTTTTGGAAACCATCTCTATCTACCCACTGTTATTTTATTTTTAGGTTTTTTTTTTTTGGAAAGTCTGTCGCGCTGAGTGTCGTACGTGAGCATTATCGCTAATAATTTCTGCATATTTTAGCCGAAACCCCTCTCCCAGCTGGCGAATGCATCCGGAATGCAGCTGCAAATTCGAAAATGCATTCCCAGTGTTCGGCTTTAGTATTTGGCTCAAAGAGCCTCCAAAATGGCCGGCGGTTCGAATTATGCCCGGGGGAGGACTAAAATCTATCTGAAGTCAGGAAATGGCAGCCGAAAATCGTTAAAATGTCGAGCATCTGGACGGAAGGTAGAAAAAAGGCAAAATTGAAGCACTTTTAGCAAACCTCACCTGTCGTTCGACTTTAAGATGCTCAATAAATTTTATTAAAACTGCATCATTATTACCATTTATTTTATTTTGTCCATAATATCAATTACTTTTTATAAGCTTGTTTTTCTATTTCAAGATGAAATGGAAGGTCGTAATAAAGATCCCTCAAACGCTTTAACCAGTTGACAGATGGCTACTATTTAATTTACCAAACTAAAATTAAGCGTTTGGCTTGCTTGGGCCAAACTTCTCTTTTATTGAAAGGTATTCCCAAGTTATTTGTTCTGGTTTCGCCCCCACTTCATCGACTTTCCCCGATTGCCTTGTTCATTAGCCAACTTGCGTGCCCAACTATATCCGCACACAATAGAGAAACCCGTGGAGAAGGAAAAACACACCCACTGCCGTTTCGTTTGGATTCGTTTCGGCCTAGACAAGTAGTAACTGGCCCCAGCTGGGAACTAATCGTTAACAAATTGCCACTGATAGCGGGGTCCCCAAACGAGATATGGTAACACCTTGACAGGTGGCCAACGGAAAACACTTGTAACCCCCGGTTCTTTCCATTCAGGTGTGTGGGAAATGTTTTGCTTGTCGCCAGGTGTAAATTACTTTTTAATACGCCGCTGATGTGACTTTAAGCCGGCGAATGACAAGGTGGAAACACCCGCCAGAGCACACACACAGCAATTTTTCGACCAAAATTTAAGCCGAAACCCTGGCATTCGGAATCGGAATAGAAATCCTCGAGTTTTTGTGGCAAAGAAAATGATATGCACGTGGCAAGGCAGACAGACACGAAGCGAAACCAAAGCGAAATTGAATGACGCTGCAGGCGGGACACGCTCTCTTTTCCAGCACTCAAAATAAATACTTAGACTAAAAAATAAAAAAAAAAATAAAAAAATATGAAATTAACAAAATATATATATATTTTCAAATAGATCACAGAAACTCAAAATAATAACTTTTCTTATATCCTAAAAATGAATTTTTGAATTCCCAATTATTTAAACAAAAATAGTAAATTGGTCTAAACTTGACCTTTTTATCAAAATATCGTAATATGTTTTTTATAAGATTTTTTTCACTGCATTTCGAACTCGGGCTTGCATTTGCAACACGGCAAAGTGTCAGAAATCGTGAAATTCAATTATCTTTGGCCTGTACAACTAAATACACCTGCGAATGGTATAATAATCACAACTCACCTCCACGGTGTTGTCGCGTATGTAGATTTCCTTGGTATCGTTGGGATCCCGATCGCGTGGTCGATATGTGATGCGGTAGCCGAGGAACTCGCCCAGTATGGTATCCGGCGGAGGGGCCTTCCACGAGATGTAGACCGAGGTGGAGGACGTATTGTGGGCCGTTGTCGGAATGGGTTTGCCTGTGGGAGCTGCAAGAGAGATTAAGTCGGTTAAGGAATGACTGAGCTAGGCCAGAAACTTTGGCTGGCAGAAAAGTTCCGGCGGGGCAACTCAAAAATTCGAAATTAAAAACGCCGCGCAAAAGTTTCACCCGAAAACTCTCTGACCTGTCATGTAAAGCGGAACGTTGTCTGTGGCATTGTCAAGTTGTCACTGTCACGCAACATAAGTTGCAAGTGCCACGGCCTGTTTTTTTGCTAGGCCTTTGGAGTGGGTTTCAGGGTCTATGCGCCTACGTTTTTGGACGTCTTTTCTATTCGCAACCGAACCCCCTTTTGGCCTTGTCTACGAGAATTACTCGCAGGTTAAATGATGCGTGTGTCGCGCTGATACACTCAGAAAATAACACTTTGCTAGGGCAGATTCGAAAAAAAAATACTAATGCTAGGTTTGATAAAAAATTTATTTTAAGAAGAGAGTTATAGGATAATATTGTATTCCAAACATTTAATTAAAAATCTTAAGAAAATTATATTGAATTTTCTAACTTTAAAGTTGCTTTTTCTCCCGTGTTTTTCCGAGTGTAGCAGGTGTGCCCGGCTAAGGATGAGCTGGCACTTTGCCAGCCCCAAAAGAAGGGCGAAATACTTCGCATACCTCAATGAATTTATAAATAAATTAAAAGATATTTTGTGTCTTTTGGCTTGACATTGATGCCGCGTCCAAAGTTTGCTCTGAAAATTGAAAACTTTTCGCTTTTCCGCTGCTTAGATTTGGAATTTGCCCAGAATCCACTTTTCTGGGCGGAGGAAAAGAGCTGGTATGTATGTCGCTGGTTAATTTATGCATGCCGCAGGCTTAATTTATACAAATTGGCAACTCGGGCGGCGACCGCAGGACACACACACATACATAGGCACATACACGCATTCATAGCCCGCCAGGAGGGCCGAAAGGACCTTAATGAGCTCTGAAGACGAGGACACAGCAACACACTATTGACTAATTTGTAACCGCATGTGTTGCAGCTTCGGCAGCTTGGGTCGCATTCCATTGTGCGAGCGGCATAAATGGAATTTCACACCCAACCGAGCAGCCTACACTGAGAAAAATCTAAGAAAATTAGTTCTAAAAGGGATTCTAAACTCTTCAAAAACAAATTGTGGAAAAATAAAAATTAAATTAATAAAAATATGTTCCTTTTTGCCAAAAAATACAATATTTTTAGAATCTTAGTAGCACTTTTTCTCTGTGCAGCGGCAAAGTCATTTCCAATGTTCGTAAGACAAATGTGTTGCTAATAGCTTGTCGCTGTTGCCGCTGCTACAGCTACTTTGCCTTTGATTAATGTGTCTCGCGCTCTTAAAGCCTACGGAAAGTTTTGTGACTTTTTGGAGTCCATTTATACATATGTGGGGCGCATATACTATATGTGGAACACGCACCGCCGTACGATTAATCATTGTCTGTGGCAGCAACAGCAGCAGCAGCAGCAGGTGAAATGTCAGCCAAATGACACGGGCCTCTGAAGCTGAGGCATTCGGCACAAAATTAGTGCATCTAGCTGAAACCATACTTCGACTATAGTTCCCTCAACTTTCAGGAGGTAAAGTTCTCGGCTTTGTCATCGCATGTTAATGAAATGAAAGCGGCCTCTAAAACGTTAGTGTTCCTATACGAAACAGTTGAGGTAACAAAATATGTTACTTTCGGATTAGAATTGTTATAAAAATAATTGGGAAAAAAAATGTTCAAAAATATTTATTTATTTTATTTAAATAAATTGATTCTAGCTTATCATATATGATGTTGTATATATTTTCTACCTTTTTTATAATTATAAACTTAATTCGCAAAACTTTAATTCGCAAAAAAAATGTGTATAAATATCATCGGCTGCATAATTTATTCGAATTTTCATAATAATTTGGTTAGTGATAATTAATTTTTAAAATCCTTAACTCTCATTGTGACCGCAATTGTAGTTTCCTTTTGGGTTACAAGCGGACGCAGTTAATGTCATTGCCGGAACAGCAGGATGCGATGCGGGAGGTGAATCCCAGGTGAAGGAGCCGAGGAGGACCATAAAATGACGACACACCTGGCCTAGGCGATCCTGCGATGGCCTACCGTCAGCGTAAAAATAATTAAACGTATACAACGTGAGGAGACTCCGGCTTTATGAGGCCGTAATTGCTGGCAGTTGCGGGTGAAACTGGGAGTGAGTGGAAGTGGTAGGGAAAAACCGGGCGAGCCTGTGACAACTTTTCATTGACGGCACTTAAAAGTCAGCCCAAGTCGTTGGAATTGAAATGAAAAATTAATGCGATTGTAAAAATTGTTATGTCATGTGTCGCGTAATTTTGCCCCTATACGCTATACGCTATATATTACGTTATGTTATGTGGAACCGCCTACGCGAATAGTTTATGATCCTGCCGCCAATAAAGTGTGTAAGCACACAATAGGATCTGGGGGAAAAGGACTTACCCTCACGCAGCGTGACTATATAGTAGGACTCCTTGGACGGCGGACTGATGCCCAGCTTGTTGACCGCCAGGAGGCGAAAGCTGTAGACGGTGAAGGGCGTCAGCCCGGTCACCTGATATGACGTCGCATTTGTCTTTGTGTATATCCTGGCCAGCTGCTCCCAAATGCCGTCCTCGCCCTCCCTAAAAAGACGAAAACAAGTTGTAAGTTAGTATTTTTTGTGGGAAATTATAGTACCTTAATAATACAAATTTGTAAATTTATTTAAACAAGGCTAAAGCATATTTCTTACTCAACATTAATATATTTTATTTTACTGATCATTTTTCTACGACAACCATCTATAATTAATATCTTGCCGTCGTATAAAAACCTTTATTTCAAATTATTTAATAGGTAAATAATTTTAAAGAGTCAGGAATACTCAATTTTAAGTATCTTATGTTACCATTGTTCCGCATATCTTTAAATTACCTGAATTTTCAAAGACTTATTGACCTCATTAATGTATAGTGCATGCTGATGGCTCATTCAGAGGGAAAATTCAATGAACAATTAATCGGGCAAACGGGACGCGAGCAAACAAAACATTTTGATTCGGCCAAATTATTTGAACGAATCATTTCATTATTGTGCATTTATATTGCAATTACCAGCTCAATTGCCGGCACACAACAGCATGTTCATATAAATAAACTCAGAAATCTATATTTTACGTCTGCAATATACCAGGGCAAATGAGGAAAAGGGACAGACAGATTGAGAGCAGAGGGGCTGGGGTTCCAATATACATAAACCATGGGTATAAAATGCATTATGAAAATTTATATAAAACGGATGCGGATTTGCATGACACTTGTGGGGGTGGCGGGGTCCTTTTGGGATCCGTTCGTGAAATGTGTGCCGCGCATAGGCACTAAAATATTTATGCGCCTTTCTGCCGTACAAAAATACACCCGACCACCTATATACGTACCCAAAAGAAAAATCCTATATGTATATTCCGCCGATATTGTTGTTGCTGCGCATATAAATTACTCGCAGCCGCTCGCACAATGAACATTTTTCATGGCACATTTCAAAGTGTAGTAAATTTTGGTTTAAACTCACATAATTTTAGCATATTTTTTGGCACATTCTCCTTTTTCGGGGGCCTGCATAAATTTTCGGTCCCACCATCTAAAGTTTGATTTTAATGGGGCTTACCGATTCGGTGCGGCTTTTATGGTGTGATTAAAAATTGTTTAAATATGAGCCGATGAAAAATGTTGAACATTTCATGAATGGCGACAACCAATAAAAGGAGCCCGAAAACGAAAAAAATGGCCATCGGAAATTGTGTCAAAAAAATGATTAAAATTAATAAATGCGTGCGAGCAGCTTCCGCGTTGAGTGGGGCACATCTGTTTGCGTTGGCAATGGGCATTTAGTGGGTACATATAGTGTCCATATATATATATATATATATCGAAATATCGGGGGCATCGGGCCTGCGGACACGTTGCATTCGGTAAAAAATTGTTTGGCGACTTTATGAAGCATGGCAGGCGGTGCCCTCCCATCATCTGTCCCGAATGAAAAACATATGAAAAATGTTCTGGACCTGGACCTGAAACCCCGAAACCCCGGTTGGCAAAAAAGACGCCGAGGGAGAGATTCTCCGCCAGCGTGGGCAAAGTAACCACAATGGCAAATAAATTTGCGGCCTTTCCACGGACATGCATTGGATGCTTTTTGCTGTTATTCCACTGACGTTCTTGTTGTTTTTCCCCACTGGTAGTAAGCTGCTTTAAAAATGTTTGCTTACTTTTTTCATATTAAGCAAATGAATATGAGTTATTTATGCATCTGGGCGGGTTTGTGTTTGCTTTCCATGGGTATCGCTTCTATACGACCGAGGGCTATGGGCCAAGGTTCATGCACGAGTTGTTGAAACAGGACAATTTACTTGCGGCACGAGTCCTTAAAGATAATGGACAAATAGTGGTCGGAGCACTCGGCAGATAAGTCAGGAACTTGGTTAAAAAAAGACCACAATTTATAACCACAGTTTTGGCAGAAAGTTGGGCAGTTAACTGTACATTTTATTGGGATACCGAAATACATCGTTAAAATGGTCTAAAAATAAACTATCTTGCTGTTCAGGAATTTGTAAAAATAAACTATATAAATTCTTCACAAAATTCTTTAACACTTCAATTAGCATTCTTCATTTAAATTACTTTAAGCTATATTGTTTCTCACTTTTTCCAATTATAACTGTTTTTATTAATGTTTCCCCAGTTCATTATGCCTTTAAACGTATTTTACATAATGTGAAAAGTAAACAAAAAATAGCCAGCAAATGAAAATGTTTTCATAAGCGTAAGATTTAATTAATTTTATTCGTGTACTCACAGCAAAAAGAAACTGAATAAACATAGGACAAAATCAAGCGACGGAAAATACAGCTGAGTGAGATGTGTGGCCCAAAAAAAAAGAAGAAAATATCTGAATCATGAGCGGACATCCCATAATGATATGGACAATTTTTTTTATTTCGGGCTTGGTTTTTGGTGAATGGAAATCGAGAAACAGTATCCACAGCAGTTGATAAACATGTCATGTGTTGTGTGTGGAGTGGAAAACCGCAGAGTTTTGGCCCAGTTTTCGGTTGACCGAAAGTTTTGCCAACGAAATATGCGAAATACAAAACATCAATGCATTTATGTATGTGTATATGCAGGCACACACATCCGCCAACTGATGACATTATCCTGCCTGCTGGCTGTGCAACAGTTGAGGGGCAGCAATTTATGGATAGACTTAACGCTTGGCAGGACAACTCATCCTCAGCCCATTTCAATTGCATGGGGCCAAGCCGGCAAATCCAGCGTAAGGATGTCCCCATCATCATCATCGTCGTCATCATCTCGTTGATTCTGGCGTCTTTCAATTTCGATGGGAGCTCCATGTGCATATTGAACCGCCCATCCCCCCTTTGCATATGCGCAAATAAACCGAATCAAGCGAAAATGTAAATAAGAGGCGTTGTGAAATAAAGGGAGAGGAGGGTGGGGAGTCGATAAGGGGGTCCTCGACAGCATCAAGAACTCGACTCACTCCCATGTCGATGGGAATTTACATAAAATGCAGTCTGCAGCTCCACCTCGCCGGAGAATGAGAATGAGATGGCAACGGGGCAGCTTCATTTTGTGTACGCGTTACCCAAAAAAGTATGCTATGCTGCGTATAAGCTGATCATACACTGGGAGAAATGGTTTATGAAACGTCGAAAACAATACATAAAACAAAAAGTAAGAAATTTTTTTAGGTTAAGTAATCTACATTATTGATACAATGCTATAAGTTCTTAAGGATTTAATATTGACTTTGGAAATAAAGACTTTTAATAAGAAAAAGTTACCAAATTTTAATTATGTTTGGCAATTAATTTTGGAAAACTCTGCACTTTTCCCAAAGTTTCTCCAAGTGTAGTTACACTTGGCAGGCGGCGGCGCGTGTTCACATTTCCTTCGGTGTTTGTGTGGGTGCAGTTATTTCTTATTTTGCATAAATGCACCGCAGGCTCTGCTTTCCAGTTGGCTGTCATCGATTGTGCTGGGAACCCAGTGTCTTGTCGAGGACACGCCCCCCTTCCCCCTCTGCCACCGCCTCCGCCACAGCCCTCTTTCCCCCGGCGCTACTGCAGTTGATGGAAATTTATTGAAAAAGTTTCGCTTTTTGGTATTTTTTTTCCGACATTTTCGCTTGGCCTTTGTACCGCGTTGGCGGCGCTCGCTTTTTATTTCATGCCCCGCATTGAGTTCAAGTTATTCGGAAAATAGCCAGTGCCGCACAATGCCAGGAGTATGTGTATGTTATGGGTGTATATGTGCTCGACTTAAACCGGGGGAAACCCCCTTTGCACACACACACACTGATGCACAGATATGGCTTTATACGCGTGCCTGTGTTTTCTTTTCTATTTAAATGGAGCACAAGTGAAGTGCGTATCCCCGTAGTCATGCATGTCGTCGTCATCCTTTTACATAATAATTAAAGTACTGCCGAACCAATGGACTGGACCTGCGGTCCGAGATTTACAGTAGCAGTCAAAAATTTAGCAATCATTTTACTTAACTATTAACTATCTTGGAAAATATAGTAGGTACTTTAAAATATTTAAAAAAAATATATATTCTATAATTAAATAATGTGTTTCATAATTTTGAAACACCTTTCAACACTGAAATTAAAATTAAAATGGTTTAACCCAATTATTTTATAATTAAAACTGATTAGTTAGTCACTGCTTCAAAATGTATTAATATATTAATTACTAAAATTTTGTATTATTTTTTTATTAAAGCCATTTGGAGTTTTATAAGAAAATAAAGCTAGTGACTATCTTCAGTGCTAATACTTCAACCGTAGTTGTACATTTAAGCCAGCCGTAAACGCATAAATTTAATTGAATGCGTCCAGCCTGCAGACGTGAAAATCCGATGGGCGGGTTCAAGTCAAAGGCGTGGGCGTGGCTGTGGGCGTGGCCAGCTGCTTAGCATCCCAATGACGCTGATGGGTGCATTATGGCGATGGTGTGCATCCAGCGTTTCGCTTTGCTCGCTAATTCATTAGCGCAATGGGGTCAGCCGCAGTTTGCATCCTTTGGCAGAGCGCCTTTGCATGTGTCAATCATGGCCGCGCGTCCATCATCGCCACAGACAGCTCTTCAGCGCCCTTCGCCACCCACTCGAACACCCACCCATCCAACTTATCCATCCAACCGGCCAAGTGCCCACCCACGGGCACTTCATCAGCTTAAAACATCCCACACTGGTGAGAAAGTGCTGGTCAATTAGCTAGTTTCACTAGTTTAAGATTGTACCTAAAGTACTTCGTTTTTTTAATTTGAAAAATAATTAATTTTTTAAGTCAAAAACCTTTTTAAAGCTCGTAAGAATAATTTGTTTAGGAATTCGTATATTTTAAATCACTTTAAAAGGTGTCTAAAAGTATGCAATGAAAAAAATGTTTATTTTTCTCAAGAATCCTTAATAAAATAAAACAAAATTTTTTATGTTTCCATATTAAATATTGTATACTCTTTATAATAATATTTTCTCTTCTGTCATATAACTTTTTCGGATTTCAAATGCTTCTTATAAAGCTGATTCTTTTCCCATATATTCATAACTTAGCCCTTTCTTATCGATATTTGGCACCTCTTCTGGTGCTTCGTTCCCGCCGTGGCAACACTTACCGCGTTTCAATAATAAAATGCGTGACGGGCGCATTCCGCGGATGCTGCGAGTGCGCCCAGGATAAATTCACCGAGCGTGATGTGAAACTTATCAACAATGGTCGCTCCGGCGGATCGGGCACATCTGCAGGGAAGAAACGAGAAAAGTGCCAGCTATCAGTGGAATGCAAATGGAAATCATGTCAAGGCGAGGGCGACAACAGTGAAAACAAGAGTGTGGAATCGATGCAGAAATAAAGAGGAACGAAGACATATCGGGTAATGGAATCTGGAATTCAAGGGGGGCCAGCGGATGTTGGCCAAGTAAACCGGAAAAATCATTAAAGTAGTTAAGCGTTTCATTAAGAAAGCAAGTGAATGAATGCAAAGTGTGATAATTTAAATGAAATGGAAGCCAGGAATACAAATTGCAATCTTTAATGAGAAATTATAAAATAAATAAATGTATCAAGGGGATGAAACTGCAGTAATATTGTGATAGATAAAATCTTGAACTCACCCTGAACCAGCAAATCGACTATGGCCTCTGGTATATGCCGATCGTTAACCAGGCATATATATTCCGACGTATCGCTTGCTAACGAGGGCGAAAACTGCAGGCCGAAGTTGTCCGATAAAAGTTGTATCTGCAAACGAGATGAGATGAGGGAACTTAATTAGAGAACTCCGTTTGTCTGATCTGAAAATTAAAATCTAGATATTCAAGGCCTGACAGCCTTAACATGGCGACCGACACGAGTTTCCACTTTCGGCAGGGAAAACTTTTAAATAGGAGGAAGTCTTACATATAGCACATACTACATGCCTGCGAGTACATATACTCTGGCACAACAAAAACAAAATTTAGGAACTCTGTCATCGACCCAGCCTAAAAGTTTTTCCTGTATCAGGCAAATTTGTTTTGCCCACAAATGCCGGGCTCTTGGCCATAATTGAACTATGTGTCTTTCCCAACTTGAGCATAAAGCCAAGTTGCATTGGCAGTAAATTCATTCAAGATTTGTTTGTTTTTCTATTCTGATTTGCGGAAAATTTGGAAATTGCATGAAGCTGAAAATAATTTTCATTTCCATGGAGAGGCAGGCGCATACATACCTGCCTTTCAGAGAATTGGGCCAAATTTAATAAGGATTTTCATCACAGATTACTGTGATACTGCAAATATATTTCGGGTGAATTTATGTCTGTTTCGAATGGCAAAACTAAATTATTTCATCCGCATTCATCCAACAATCTATCTTTTGGGGGGGCTGCAGTAAGAGTGTATCTGGTTTATCTTCGCATGCCTGACCCGGTTATTTACTTTTGTATCTTTTGCCACATGCATGGCCTCAAATTACAACCTCAGTTTCTAAATGAAAGCTTACACATATGTGTGTGTGTTTCGGCCGATTGCATTCTGCCGAATTGTTCGGTCGACAGGCATTATTAGACAGGCCCCGAAAAATATTTTCCACAAATTTACCATGTGGAATTTTTAATTTCCCATCCGATTCTCCCCAGTAAACTCTAATTACATTCATCGCCCTTTTGGCCCTACATGGCCACAAAATCCGGAGAGCAAAAAAAGAAGGGGGAAAAAAGCTGAAGAAACAACAGAAACTTGTAGAGGCAAATCCCTCGTCCTTCGGGCAAGTGGATCTCCTTAGTCCGCTTGGCTTGGGCAAACATGAATCATTTCTAGTCTCGGCCATAAAACAAAAGTTAATAGCTCAACAGGGTCTTATGCTCGGGTGTATGAGTGTGTTTGTGTGTGTGTGCGGGGGGTCATGTGTCAGCTGTAATAAAATGAAGCAGCTACTGTGCCAAGGTGAAAAACTTTTAATACACATAATAGCCGGGCCAAGAAGCAGCAGAGCAGCCGCCGCACTTGCAGGCAACTTCGGGCCAAGAAATGCGAACCGAGCGCCGAAGACGGGGATTGGGACCAACTTTGGCTGCAGCTCAAGTGTCCCAGTCCGCCATTTAACACATAGCTGGCTAGCCCTCTCCTGCAGCTCAAGGAGAAGCTGCTTAATGCACTGAGAAAAATTAAACCGATCAGTACTCCTAATAACTTAAGGCAAAACTAACATAAACACCAGAATTCTAATAAAAAATTAAAAAACAAAAAAGTACTGTTTTACTACGGATAAATATTTATTACTTTTGATTGCAAATTTTAAATTAAAAACCACTCCAAATACTTTCCTTGATTTAAATTTTATCCATTTCTACTACCTCAAGAAAATCCTATTTAAATCTGCATTTTTGCTCTGTATTTCCCCTATACATTTTTGTTCAGAGTGCAGACATCTCAGGATTCTCCATCATCTTGTTCCCAACGAAGGGGCAACTTCATCATTCTGTTTGCGCCGCCTCAATGGCCCCCCGAGTGCGTTTAAGGCCATTGCAATCACTTTTGGCCCGCTCGGCTCCCCTTTTTAGCCCTCTATCTCCATTTTTCTGCCATCTGGCAGCCACTTGAACATTTTTTTGCGCCATGTCGCTTTTGTTTTAGTGCAACTATCAAACATTTAAAATATATTAGCCGCGCCGGCTGCACTGCACTCCCGGGTGGTGGTGATGGTGACCCCGATCCCCCCGATCCTGCCACCATTGATGGCCACTTAGTTGTCGGGACTTTCGCTGCACTTTCTTGTACTCATCGCCGCTGTCGACGGTGGATGGTAAAGTTCAAACAGCCGCCCAGCAACCGGCCATCAATTATTTTAACAGCTTCGTTTTTGCGCCCAAGGAAGTGGGGCCCTATATATTAAGGACGAACGCCTTTTCGTGGGAAGGGAGAGCAGTGCCTAAGTCCCTAAGTGTTGAAATGAATTCTGATATGACACTGGAGGGCCATTTTTGAGCGAAAATTGCAGGAAGGGGAGTGAGTCCTGAATATTGAATGCATAAATTCGATTTGATAATCGCATAAAATGATTGATTTTTTTTCAAGTTAATAGTTCACTTTTGGATTTACCTGGAATACATACATATTTAAAGGATAATTTATGAATAAGTTCATTACTTCTGAATTGATTATTACATTTAAATTTTTGCTTGACTTTTTCCTAATTTGATAGTTTATTTACTAGATTTACTTATTTAAAGGAAATTTTATTACTAATTTGTATTCTTCCACAATTCATATATCAAATAAAAACACCTCTTAACGAGGTAAAAAACTAGTGACGACCGCACCTTCAACATACAAAAGTTCTGATATCAACATTTGTGACGAAAAATTATTACACTCGTCATTAAATAGACTTTCTAATCTTTTCTCATTCGGCCCGCCCTAGCAAACTATTCCAGCCTTTTTCCCCTTACAGGCATTTTCTATTGCAGCGTGACGAATGAGAAAAGATTAGAAAGTCTATTTAATGACGAGTGTAATAATTTTTCGTCACAAATGTTGATATCAGAACTTTTGTATGTTGAAGGTGCGGTCGTCACTAGTTTTTTACCTCGTTAAGAGGTGTTTTTATTTGATATCAGAAGTTTTTGTTTGTTTACATTTGCTCTCATAGGAGCTAATATATACATTTAAATTTAAATTGGTCAATCAAAATTTTTAAACTATTGTATTTTAACAAATTAAGTTAAAAAGGCGTTGAAGTATTTCAAAATACCTTTTAAACGAGGTATAGTACATGTCTGTACCTTTAGTAGTGTAGAACTTACAAACTAACGAAATTTAGCTATTTTTAGCTTTTTCCCGCTAAAGTAGCGGCTTTTTCCAAAAGTCGTAGAACAAAAGATTCCTATATGGAACTCTTAAGTGCAAATTTACTGATTCCATGACCCTAAAGTACAGTTCGGATACCCTCCCACAAAATTCAATACTCAGGGAGCGTTAATTGTTCGAGCTGGCAAAAGTGGCTATTTTCGAATAAAAATAACTTTTAAACGTGACTTTTTACAGTAATGTGTTATATACCAAAATTTAAGGAATCTCAAGGGCTATACAGTTTAAGGTTTTAAAGAAAATCGTTAGAGCCGTTTTTGAAAAAAATAAAAAAAGCTAAAAAAAAAGTTTTAAAAAATTGTCTTTTGTTCATATTTTTTTAAGTATTACATTTACACAAATTGCATATAGAAGGCGTTTATAGCATTTAAAAATACCTTTCAAACGAGATGCAGCACAAGCCTGTAGCTTTAGTAGTATAGAAGTTACGGCTTTCCGAATTTTAGCTACTTATAGCTGTTTTCCCGCTAAACTAGCGGGTTTTTCCAAAAGTGGTAGAACAAAAGTTTTTTATATCGATGTGATGAACGTCATATCAAATTTTCAGAACTTAAAAAACATGTTTTGGACAAGTGGACAAGTGGACAAGTGGACAAACAGAATTAAATTTTCATTTTGGGAAGAAGAAGAAAATCTTATTTTGGCTATAACTTTTGAACGGAGAGTCGGATTTTGACAAATGACCCCTCATTCGACGGGTATTTTCAAAAGGAATACAACTAAAACATTGCGAGGGGGCATTTATCCCCACCGGCCCCAACAGCTCCAAATTTCGAAATTTTCACTTTTTCACTTTCACCGCTCTCTCTCCCAAGCCAATTGATTTTCTTAAAGTCTTGGTATGCAATCCTGTTAGTTTTCGCAATACCTTTCGATAGGTGTATTATTCATTATGATCGGACCATCACAGTAGATTTTCATTTCTTCGTGTATATATAGTAGTCGCCTTCGCACACTCTCCTGGTGCGCTTCGTCACTACATGGACTGCCGTCCATAGTGATTATTAAAAATATTGACCGACTTTTGTTTGATTTTTCCTTGAGTTCTTAGTTACTGGGAATTTTATTCAGTGCATAATATATTTTTTTACTCACCCTCGGACTGTGGAGCAGGGGTATCCGATTGGCGAACTGCGCGATTGTCGTCGACGCCGTTTTCCACACGAGCGTGTCCACCAGCGAGTGCTCGTTGACCCCTGGACACGGAATGGTCACGTTCTTGCCCGCCTCGGCATTCACCTTTACGTAGTCCAGATTTGTGACGTCTGCAAGAAATAAATAAAACATTAAGTACTAACGTCACTTAACAGTCACTTATGAAAAATATACGGGCTCCTGCCAACACAGGTAATCCAAAAGGATTAGTATAATAATTTTATTATTTAAATACTCGTTACCGAATTTATTCAAGAGAAAATATTTTATGGACTACTGATGAATGAAGGGTAATTGGCGATTATTCGCTTTTCAATATAAATGAGATTAAAAGCAGCTTTTGTAATAAAATCATATGCAAAATAATTGCGGGCATTGTTTTCTCAAACAAAGAGTATGCAATTATATATTTTTATGATTTAATAATTATTGTTAGGCTCTTAAATTCGTAAATTAATAATGGAGATTTTCATAGATTAAAATGGATAATATTAGGATTAAATTAAGGCCATGTTTTTTTTTGTTAGAAAATATATGTTGCATAGAAAGTGCAATTTTTCGCCATGTACGAGAGCTGCATGCACCAAGTAGAAGGAAAAGTGGTGAAAGCTTGCCAGAATTTGGGGCATTCCATTGAGAAAGTTGGGGCTGCCAGCAAGAGTGGCCCGGCTGCTCATAAAAGAGGAGCTCAAGTTATTTGGAAAGGAATATTTTTGGCACACAAAAGCGAAAAGCAGCCGCAAAATGTTTGGGCAAAATATCTGCAAGGCATTTTAATTACATAACATGTTTACGGAGCACTGCTCACAGTTGGTACTTTCAGTTCCCCCCCTCATATACCATATAGTATACATATAGAATATCCCCATGCACTGTGTGTCAGTTGCCAGTGTTGAAAGCAATTTCATGGTCTAAACTATTTCGAAGGTTTCAGCTGGTCACCTGAGTGCGAGTAGGAGCTTGGGCACTACTTCATGCATGCCGGAGCAGATCCTTTCGAGCAATATTTGTTTTGGAAATTGCCAAAAATGCCCTGGCTCTCTCTCACTCTTTGGACGGGGGGCTCCAATTAAAATTATAGAAACAACAAATCGACTGCCCACTGGGCAGTTGGCCAAGAAGCATCCAACGTAAGCTGCTTTGGCAGCTGCATTTGCATCTGCATAAATTGCCAAGCGTCCGAGTGTTGGTAATAAGCATTAGGCATGACATGGCTTCAACTCGAACTCCGAGTCCAGAACTCCAATGCCACTTGCAATCAATTGAGAAATCATGCTGAAAACCCAACCGATTCTCGCACTGCCAATGCCAAAGCCAAAAACCCACCATTTAGCCATGGCATTGGCAGTGGCAGTTGCAACTCAACTGGTTGCCACAACGACTGCATTCCGAGTGGGGTTCCCCCTAGTTCCATCCAGCACAAATGGCTTTGGTTCTCGGTTTTCTCGGTGCTCAGTGCTCATTGCTCGGTTTTATGCATTTGCGGACCCTTTGCCCCTCGGTCATTACGAGTATTGCAAAATGAGTGCTGCTTTTGTTCACTAAGCCACGATCATCGGAGTATTTATAAATTATCGATTCATTGTCTTGTGTGCTGCGTCCCTCTTTCGGGAAATTTAATTTCAGTCTGCAACTCTGTCGCTGGAAATTTTGCATAATACGAAGTACAGTTTTTGGATAATTTATGATTTTGAACTGCGACATGAAAGCCTAAGGACTTTAAATGGGTGCACTGGGAAAAAAGATAGGGGAATGTTGGCTTAAGAAAATAGTTAACTTGAGTTAAACTAAAAATGCATTTAAAAAAGTAAAGGTTTGGAAACTTTAAGCACATTACAATAAATTGTTAAAGTCATATATACCACAGTTATATTTTTAGGACTTTTGCTTAGGCAATCTTTAGTTTTCCCGCTTTTCTTCAGTGTCCTTGTGGTTGGTGAGGCATTTTTGCATATTTCGCTCGGCGCATGCAGATGAGTTGGACGGTCAAAAACAGAGGGCGAATCGCTGTTTAATTTCCTGATGCAATGGCGCCGAGTTCAGGAAACAATTGCACACAATTTATGGCGGGGGCTTTTTTGAGGACGGCCGCCGAAACCGTTTTTCGCAGTAGAAGTTGGCAATTAAGCAGCAAACAGAGCGACATTCAAACTTTCATACAGACAGACACAGAGATAGACAGACAGACAGACGGGCGCTGTAAATAAATTATAATTATTTTGTGCCATTCAAGCGAGTGCCCAAGGGACTTCGCCTTCGACCACAGGAAAATTAGCCAACGACAAAAACGAAATAAGTAGTCGGACCAGAATATCGTTCCACCCTTCGTTTTCGTTTCCGGTTCGTTTTGGATTGGATTGAGCTAATAATCAAATTGAATGCAACCCCCGACGACGACTCGACCGGCAACAATTAATTTTATTTATGTTGATTCTAATCAACGGAACGGGCAGCAGACAGCGGGATTTCGACTGGGATTCGCAGGCTGCCATGGCGAGGGATTCGTATCCGTGCCTTTGAAATCCTAGCGGAAAACTCGCCCGAGCGCATGAAAGATGAAAATATTGGATTCATGCTTCGCTGCTCGCAGCTTCAGCGGAAACATTTTCCTACCCCTCCCACCGCAGAATTCAAGGCACTGCGAAATAATTAAAATGGTTTTCTAATCCCCAGTTAAACCATTAAAAAATCAGAAGTTCGGAAAATAATTAATAAAGGTGAATTAAGCCCAGCTAAGAGCTGCAAAATTACTTAGGAATAATATAAACTTTTTTTTTTAATATTTACATTTTAATTGTTTAATTAATATAAATTTATAATTGATTATAAAGTATCCATATGTATTTGACATGCGCCATTTCAATTCGATATGCTTAAAAACGTAAATCGATAATTCTGTAATATCGTTTTTACATAAAATTTAATATCTAAAAATTAAAAAAAAATACTATAGTATCTTAAATCTAGAACCCTATGTTAGGCAAAGCAGTTTAATATTTATTTACCTTGATTAAACAATTTGGAATTTCCCCCTGTGTAGAAACAGTACAAATATTACAGCACTTAGCCGCGTCTGATTGTTTGTTCTGGGATCTCGTGAGCTCCTCTGACCCGTTGCCATGTCAATTGTCTGTGAAAACACTCCCCTGTGTTGTGCAACATGGCTAAACTCGCTTTGGGTGACTCCAACCAAAGTATCTCTGCCTTATAATATTCCTCTTTTCTACACTGTCTGCTCGACAAAACTACTCGTATGCAGTTGAAGAATCACTTTGCATCGATTTGGGGGAACATTTAATGCCAGGGACTTGTGAATGGAGAGCCATTTGGCAGTCGGTCGGCATTTAAACCCTTTGGCAACATCCTTACCGTATTTGGCTTTCAATTTGCTGCACATTCCGGGTGTCATCCGTGTGTATCTCGTACATTTGGTGAATGGTCTGTGGAAGCGGTTTTGTGCGTGGCACCAACAAGTTGCAATCTTTTATGGCCTGCACTTTGGAGTGCATCTATTTGGAAACCATTGCGATGCATTTTTGCCGAGCGAAAGGGGGGCGAATACCATTCAGCCACTTGAGCCGCAGACTTGGCAGGTTCAAAGGGAGCATTGAATAAGGATGCACCCAGTTAACCTGCCCCTTTTTCCCACATTAACCAACCCCCGGTGCGGTGCATCAATTTCAGGCGGGATTAAATCCCGGATTGGATGAGTAATTATCCAATTAAAATTGAAGTTTCGGTCGGGCGGTGGACAACACTTGGCTAGCAGCTCGCCCTGGCCGTCGACTCTCATAACTTGAGGCACGTGGCAGGCGCGTCAGTCAGTCAACTGGCTGAAAAAGGATGTGCCACGCATGTGTGCACTTGCAGAAATAACGTATACAGTCTGAGAAAATGTACAAACATTTATTGGAAAATGGAAAATGGAAAAGGGTAAAATTGATAAAAAAATACGGGCAAATCCTAAAATACAAAATAATTATATTTAATATATTATAGTCCTGACCTAGATAATATTCATTTTAACAAGATTTTGACTTTTCTTATAAATTATGGATTGACCTTTAATATATATCTTTATCTTTAATCGTAGATAGAATAGGTAGGTCCTTGTGGCTAACCACTTCTATGACCCTGTAGAATTTTAATTCGAAATTCAGAAAATCATAAGTAGTTCTTTTCTGGCCGTGCTTATGCGTATCTGTGTTCGACTGCCCATCTATCCGTCTGTCTGTCGTCCTGTCTGCTGTTTGTATAGACATTTTCTGTCAGCCTGCGATGGCCGCCGACTGCCACAGAAGCTGAGAAATAAATGCGTGTGCCGACGTCGACGGAAAGGACATGCGAGCATCATCGTGCTCATGACAACCCGCCCACCCATACACTCATACACTCATACACCCACTCACGCACACAACAGGCAGCCAGACAATATCCCTTTTTTTATGCCTGAACGCAGCAAATAATGAAATTATGACAACCATCGGGGGAGGAAGGGGAGTGAGGACTCGGGAATAAGATGGGCACTTCTTGGGATGACGAAAACGAGATAAAAGCTGACAAGTGGCGAATGTGAAATATGATTGAGCAGGGCCACGCCCCTCCGTACAAACCCCCGCCCACGAACACTTAACTTTAACTAGGCAACTTGAAGTGTTTCAGCCTTGGGTAAACATATGTACGAGCGATCCAGACGGCAGAGAAGCCTTTGGATGGTTGCCTGGCTAAGGGTAAGGCCCCAAGGATCAGTCAATAATGCTGACATCAAATTGAAGCCAAGCTGATGGCAACTGTCAGGCAAATGTGTTTCAATTTCGTTAAACTTCGGGCCAAAAGATGGCCAAGAGAGAGGGTTAAGGGTTACGTGAGTGTGTGTGGGTTTTCGGCCGATATGTGTGGGTGGGGTTCGCGGGGCTAAAAGGCCCAAGGACTGCGGACTGAGGTCTGCGGGTTGCGGGGCAACCGACAGTCGGCGGCCAGCGGTAATCCCTTCCGTTTCATTACACAAATGCGGCTTAAGGGAAAATATATTATAAATACCTACCTACAACAATATGAATGCCCCATAAAATACGAGGCATATTAAAATGCAAATAAACCAAAGGGGAGC